GATTGGGTTTTTTTGCGGGGAGAGAGACAAAATACTGTTTGCTTACACTTGAAAATTACCTCTGTGTATACTCCCTTAACAGTGTATGATTATTATGGTTTTTTCTTTTAAAAATGGTGGGATTGAAGGCGAAGTAGACAAACGAAGCCACTTTTAGAGGGCGGGGGGGGGGGATGTTGCAAGGGAGGATTCACTGGTCATAAATAATAATGCAGCATGTCTGCAGAATCTGTCATAGAAAGTGAAGAGGTTGCATAAGGAAGAGAGATGAAGGATGAGAGATGAAGAGAGATGGAGGAGGAGTAATTTGATCTCAGAACCCAGGAGGAAAAAGAAAGTGGGGGGTGGGGTGGTCAAAATGAACACCATCAGGCCAGGCATGTAGCCGGGGGGGGGGGGGGTGGCTTGAGGGGCTTCAGCCCCCCTCCCCCCAAATTCTCATGGTGGTTCTCGAAAAGGCCTTACTGGTGCATTATTTAAACTGTTATGTTTATTCATATCATGATCTGATCACCATACTCAATATATCCCATATGCATGGGGGTATTGAGGTAATGATACAAAAGGTTTGCTAGGCTAGACCCTCTTTCACTCGGACTCAGGGGGGTGGGGGGTGGGGGCTGAGTCTGAGTGAAAGAGGGTCTACCCTAGCAAACCTTTTGTATCATTACCCCAATACCCCCATGCATATGGGATATATTGAGCATGGTGGTCAGATCATGATATGAATAAACATAACAGTTTAAATAATGCACCAGTAAGGCCTTCTCGCGAACCACCATGAGAATTTCGGGGGGGGGCTGAAGCCCCCCAAGCCCCCCCCCCCCCCGGTTACATGCCTGTGTAGAGCTCAGGTTCAGCCCCACAGGATCCAGCAGGTGAAGAACAGACTGATCCTACCCCCTGAGGTAATTTTCAACTGTAAATAAACAGTATTTTGCCCCCCCCCCCAACCAATTACTGATATATGTATATTTTCTGTTTGTTGTTGGAGTTCTGTGTGCCATATTTGGTTCAATTCCATCATTGGTGGAGTTGGAGCCCCCAGTGGTGCAGTGGGTTAAACCCCTGTGCTGGCAGGACTGAAGACCGACAGGGCGCAGGTTCAAATCCAGGGAGAGGCAGAATGAGCTCCCTCTATCAGCTCCAGCTCCTCATGCAGGGACATGAGAGAAGCCTCCCACAAGGATGATAAAACATCAAATCATCTGGTCCCCTGGGCAACGTCCTTGCAGATGGCCAATTCTCTCACACCAGAAGTGACTTGCAGTTTCTCAAGTGGCTCCTGACATGACAAATTACATCATTGGTGGAGTTCAGAATGCTCTTTGATTTTAGGTGAACTATACATCCCAGTAACTACAAGTCGCATATGTCAAGGTCTATTTTCCCCCAAGAGCGCCTCAAGAGCGCCCCCAGGCAAAATCAACTATACTGCGAATGCTTACTTTGCGTAATGGGTTGAGCTGCCCCTGCCACTATGGATGACTATAAATAACTACAGAGGCGGCCCTAGGTAATTTTCAACAGTAAGCACTCCCCGACCAATCACTGATATATATTTTCTGTTTGTCGTGGGAGTTCTGTGTGCCGTATTTGGTTCAATTCCATCATTGGTGCAGTTCAGAATGCTCTTTGATTGTAGGTGAACTATACATCCCAGCAACTACAACTCACATATATCAAGGTCTATTTTTCCCCAAGAGCGCCTCAAGAGCGCCCCTGGGCAAAATCAACTATACTGCAAATGCTTACTTTGCATAATGGTTGAGCCGCCTCTGGCTACCCCTCCCCCCCCCCCCCTCCCAAACACACAAACTCCCATCCCCCCCATCTGGCTATTGTTGTGTGCTAGCCTTCTGCATAAACACTTCCCCCTTCTGCCAAAGCGTTCACCCTTGGAACTCCCTGCCACAGGATTCACTGGTATATCCTCACAAACAGAGGCAGACAAGCTGGCAATGCCTTCTCAGCACTGACTAAAGTCTTTGCTGCTCCTGGGGGCCAAACCAAAAGGGAGCATGAACGCAGTTTCGTCCCGCTTTTAGTGCCCCGGCTCCACTGCTATAGAATCCTGGGAGTCGTCGTTCCGCACGATCTTTGTCCCTCCCAAACTACAACTCCCACGATGAGCCCAGCCAGCTAAAATCGGCCTAGGATCGCATTAATTGCCCAGTGTGGCTGGCTGCAGCCTCCACCGGTCCCATTTCCGCAGCGAGGCTGTTGAAGGCTGCTTTGCTTTATTCCCCACCAGAATCTGCAAGTTCTCCAAGACTCTGTCATTTATCACTTTATGCAAGGATCTATTTTTATGAAATCGCTTTTGATCTCACTCTCCGTGTCGTAATTTCCGCCTTTTTAAACCCCCCCCCCCCTTTCCAAAATAATAACAACAATAATACTAATACAAGGCGCCCCCACCGGAAGGAGAGGGAAGTGCACGCAGTCATGCCTAGAGAGGGAGAGGGAGGGAGATTCAAGCAGCCTCCATACAGATAGAAGGAAAGAAAATATAGTCACATATAATGTAATAGAATATATTATACTCAAATAAAATATATTAAAGTATAGTAAAATATGATCTAATCTAATAAATATATTTTATCATATTGTATTATATATGAAAATAAATATTTATAATATAATACAATAATTAAAATAAAATATAATAGAATAAATATAATGAAATACAATGCAGTCAAATAAAATAAAATATATTTTACTCTATTTTATTTTACTATCTTATATTATTTTACTCTATTTTTATTTTATTATATTTTTATTGTATTATATTAATTTTATTCCATTATATTTTACTATAGTTCACTATAATATGTAATACAATGTAGTAAATACAGTATGAAATAAAATAGAGTAAAATATATTAAAATGATATAAAAAAGATATAATCACCTAAGGCAGAGTAAAATATAATAAAATAATATTAAAATGAGTAAAATATAATTAATATAATATAGTAAAATATAATAATAATTATAGTAAGATATAAGGAAAAATATAGTAAAATATAATAATAAATATAGTAAGATATAAGGAAATCAAATAGCGTAAAATATATAATATAATTAATATAATATAGTAAAATATAAGAAATATAATATTAAATATAGTAAAAATAATGAAATAAAATATAGAAAAATAAAAATAAATATATTATTAATATAACTATACTTTAAAATGTCCTGAACTCAACTTACTCAAAAATACAATATAAAGTATAATGAAGAAGAGTACAATATATAATATAATATGATCTGCGCTTATCTAATCTAGTAAATATTCCAATATAATCTTAACTATAGTACCAATGTCACATGCAATAAACTATCCGAACCCCTCTACTTCCTCTACTCAAATGTCCGTTTCACTATTTACGTCTCGTACCATGTCATACCATACCACTATAGTAAAAACATAATCATCTATCATTCACTCTCCTCCACTATAATTCCTATATCTCTTCCCTTCAGTATAGATACAATCTACTGCCATCCCGTCGAGCGGAACCTCCTCAATACAACTGACTAGCTGAACTAAATAGAGTATCAATCATCCATACTAATTCTGATCTACGTTATAAATGCCAGTATACCTCTGCAATACCCTATCGACCCACATTAAAATACATATCATATTGATCTCCTCAAGTAATCATCATAAATTTGTAAAATGCTCCATGAAATCAAACTATAGACAAAGATCTTATACTATCGTACACGATATCCGTGCCATTTAACCATTCACTATACGTAAACTATTCACCTGAATAACATCTAGACATCACTAACTATTATTTACATATCTTCCGATAATATACTATAGTCCAATAACAATGAGATAAAATATGGCAATTAAAATACATATTCTTCATATAATAATATAATAATAAACATATACTCAATCAAATAAATAACATATAGGACATCCCACTACCCCCTCCGCTATGGTTCGTCCATTATCTACCTCTTCTCTAACTCCATCTCGTCATCCCATGCAATCTCTAGCGCCCCCTAACCTAATCATCCTCTTGCTTCCATCACCTCACCTCCTCGCCTCTCCATTCTATTCCCCCCTCCTCCCCCTTTCCCTCTCGTGTGCACCTCCCTCTCCTCTGCTCTCCTCACCTCTCTCCTCCGACTCTCGGAGGGAAAGGACTGTAAAGCGGAAAATAAATACATTATTGATATAATAAAATCTAACAAAATATAATAAATATAATAATAAATATAGTAAAATATAATGAAATAAAATAGAGAAAAATAAAATAAATGCATTATTGATACAATAAAATATAACATAATATAATAAATATAATAATAAATATAGTAAAATATAATGAAATAAAATAGAGGAAAATAAAATAAATATAATATTGATATAATAAATATAATAATAAATATAGTAAAATATAATGAAATAAAATAGAGAAAAATAAAATAAATATAATATTGATACAATAAAATATAAAATAACATAATAAATATAATAATAAATATAGTAAAATATAATGACATAAAATAGAGAAAAATAAAATAAATATAATATTGATATAATAAAATATAACAAAATATAATAAATATAATAATAAATATAGTAAAATATAATGAAACAAAACAGAGTGAAATTTCATATCATATTAAAGATATAATAAAAGAGAGAATATAAATCCCGAGGATGAATCCTATTGAATCCAAGGAAAGGCTGGAAAATGAAGGGAATGAGCAGCAAAACCATGTGACGAAGGACGCTTAAACAGCAACGTTAGGAGGGAGGGAGAGGAGGGGGAGGAGGAGGAGGGGGGGTGATGTAAGGAAAGATCACCTTCAACACAGAGTTATGGGATCGAGGCTTTCAATAGACCCCTCATCTTCTGGGTGGCTTGGGCAAATGACAGGCAGGAGGGAGGGTGGTAGGGAGGTGGGGATGGCTGTGTGGGGCTGCCCCAGGTGGATGGGGCAGGGGGGTGCCCTAGTGCCTACCTCTCCGTGGTGGCTGCTCCTTCCTTGGGGAGTATCCTCCGGGAGGAAATAAAGTTTGGAGCTGGACAAAAGTTGCCGGGAAGTCCTCTCTTCCCAGAGCAGCTGGAGCTCGGCGATGCAGAGGGGCTCCTGGGGTTTGCACCTCACGAAGAAGAAGTCGCCCAAGGAGAGGATCCGGGACCGGTTTCCTCCCAGGTGGATCTGGAAAGCCTTGTAGAAAACGTAGGCGCCGTGCGATCCACACGGGGAGCCGACCCACTGGGGAGAAAAACACTGGATCAGACAGGACACATGATATATATACATATACATACATAAAGAGGGATATTTGGGGGGTGGGGGGGGTGTCACATCTCCCGATCGGTAAGGGACCCATTGGATCTTCCAACCCCCAAGGCAAAGTTGTGGGAAAGTTTCGGAGTGGGAGATCTGGTGGGATCTAGCGGAGAGTGGCCATACCTGGACTGAATGGGGCTCCATCGCGACGCTCTGAATTGATTGAACTCAACATTCTCTCCAAACTTGTTGGCTTGAATGGATTGCATCAGGTCCTGGAAGGGAAAAGGATTGCTTCGGCCCGCAGCGCGGACAGCGAGAGCTCTCCAAAAAGGTTGCAGTCTCCCCAAAGCGGGATCGGGTCGCCCCCAAAATTTCCAGAGACCTGTCAACACCCTGGTTTCCTCAAACAAAGTGGGAACGCGTTGCTCTCCTTCTCTGCCCCTTTCCAAGGCAAAGCGACACCCCGGCTTGGTTATATCTCCTCGAAACGTCCCTCCTTTTGGGGATTTAAACCCCAAATGTGTCGGGATCTCTTCTGAGTCGGACTGGCTTCCGATCGGAACCGATTCCGGGATCCACCCAGCCCGGGTTCATTTTTGCCGGCGGGAAAGGCGCTCCGGCGCCGCTGCGCATCTGACAGGACCTGCTTGTATATGTCTAATATAAAGAACATTTCCTGCAGAGAGTCAGAGGCGCTGTTCTTCCTTTTTTCCCCCCTTTCTAATTCTCTTTAGCAGATTTGCTTTTATTAGACATGTAGATTTGTTTGATAGTTAAATCGCGTTCCCTCGACTGCCATCTTTTCCCCCCTCCGAGGGAAGAAAAAATAATCATATAGAAAGGCAGCCCGGCTCGGTGACATGACACACACAGGATGCGGATTCACACATTGGGGGGAGAAGGGGTTATCGATTATGTAAACATATCAATATTAATGCATTGGCTCTCTCTCTTTTGGGGGGGGGCATTTAGGAAGACGGCGATCGCGGGATCATACATCAGGAAGCAATCGCCTAGATATAGATATATACATACACACACATACTTACACACATACATATACAAATATATATGTATGTATGAAAACGGGCATTTAGGAAGTCGGCGATCACAGGATCATAAATCAGGAAGCAATCGCCTAGATATAGATATAGAGACATATAATATATATGTAGATATATAGATAGATAGATAGATAGATAGATATAGATATATAACCTATATATGTGTACTATATATATATATATGTGGAAAGGTAATATGGATCACCCCAGCGAAGGTGATACCAATACTAATGTGTTTATATAACCAAACGAGACATATAATATACATATAGGTATGTGTGTGTGTGTGTATATATATATATACCTATATATGTGTAATATATATATATATATGTAAATACATATAGATATATAGGTAATATCGATGTACATATATATGTAATGTATGTGTAGATAATATATATATATAACCTATATATATGTTATATATATATATAACATATATATGTACATATATGTGTAGATATATATAGGTAATATATATATATAGGGAATATATATGTACATATTTATGTAATATATATGTAGATATATATAGAGATATAGGTAATATATAAGTAGATATATATGTAATATATGTGTACATATATCTATCTATCTATCTATATATGTACACATATATTACATATATATCCTATATATGTAATATATATGTAGATATATATCGATATATATATAGACAATATAGATAATATATATTAATATATATGTAGATATATATAGGTAATATATATATATATATATATATATATATATAATATGCACATATATATAGGTTATTTATTATTATTATTATTATTTACAGTATTTATATACCACCTTTCTCACCCCTGGGGGGACTCAATATTACATATATATAGGTAATATATATGTACATATATGTAATATATATTACAGATATATAGGTACCATATAGGCATGTGGCGGGGGGGGGGGGGGCTTGAGGGGCTTCAGCCCCCCCCCCCGAAATTCTCATGGTGGTCCGCGAGAAGGCCTTACTGGTACATTATTTAAATTGTTATGTTTATTCATATCATGATCTGATCACCATGCTCAATATATCCCATATGCATGGGGGTATTGGGGTAATGATACAAAAGGTTTGCTAGGGTAGACCCTCCTTCCCTCAGACTCAGCCCACCCCCCACCCCCTGAATCAAACTCAGCCCTCCCCAAATCCTACTCACCCCCCCCCAAATCATAGTCCGCCCCCCCCCCAAATCATACTCAGCCTCCCCCCCCAAATCATACTCAGCCTCCCCCCCCAACTCATACTCAGCCCCCCCCAAATCAAAATCATGGCGACGGGCCTGCTATGTGTGTGTATATATATAACAGATATATATGTGTATGTATATAACCTATATATATGTATATAACCTATATATATATATATATATAACATATATATATGTATATAACCTATATATGTATATAACCTATATATATATTACATATATGTGTGTATGTATATAACTTATATATATGTATATAACCTATATATATGTATATAACCTATATATATATAACAGATATATATGTGTATGTATATAACCTATATATATGTATATAACCTATATATATATATTACATATATATATATGATATAACCTATATATATGTATATAACCTATATATATATATTACATATATATATGTGTATGTATATAACTTATATATATGTATATAACCTATATATATGTATATAATCTATATATATATAACAGATATATATGTGTATGTATATAACCTATATATATGTATATAACCTATATATATATTACATATATATATGTGTATGTATATAACTTATATATATGTATATAACCTATATATATGTATATAACATATATATATATAACAGATATATATGTGTATGTATATAACCTATATATATATGTATATAACCTATATATATATATTACAGATATATATGTGTGTGTGTGTGTGTGTGTATACACACACACACACATAGCAGGCCCATAGCCAGGATTTTGATGGGGGGGGGTGCTGAGATTGAAGGGGGGGGCTGAGTTTGAGGGGTGGGGTGCTGATGTAATATATATGCATTACATGTGTGTGTATGTATATATATATATATATATAACCTATTTATCGATAATATATTTGTAGATGGAAGACGAAGCAATATATCGATCCACCCAGGACCCGACACGCGCATTCACACGCACACGCGTCTGCCAGTTACGTGTTTACAATGCAGATCACCCCAGCAAAGGTGAGACCAATACTAATGTGTTTATATAACCAAACGATACACGATTGTTATTAATTTTTTTTAAAAAAGGAGAGAGATGGATCGCGATCTTTCCCAGCATTCAGAGTTTGGGGGGGTGGGGTGTAGAGGCCCCCCGATATTTGACAAACGAAAACCCCCACCAGGAAGAGAAACCCACGCCGCTTGCCAAATACTCGGGGTGTTTATGGATTGAGTGGATTGTTCTGCCTGCAGAGTGATTGTTACGCAAAGCCGGAGAAACTTAAGCGAGAGAGAGAGAGAGAGGGAGGGAGAGGGAGGGGCTTGCAACCGAGTCACCGCCAAACTAGATCCAGCAGCCTAGATGGACGCGTTATGTTATATATATTTATATAGAAAATGGTGCATTCTCTCTCTCTCTCTCTCTCTCTCTCGCCCCCCCGCCAATCAAATAACCTGCTATTCAAGGGGAAACATCCTCATGTGTACAGTATGACAGTTGTGTAATCCGATCCCCACTGCAGGAGCTATTTTTAACAAACGCCTTCACCTCGTTGGGACAGGATTGTTTGCAATGGAAAGAGAGAGAGAGAAGGGGGAAATAGATATATATATATAATCATAATAATATGATATTCACGTGCCTGAGTGGAATAAGTAAAAAAAAATATTATTTTAAATAATATTCATGTATATATTCTAATTCATTATATATATATATATCAAAATAATAAGTAAAATATTATTATTAGTATTTTAAATAATCTTCATGTATATATTCTAATTCATTATATATATATCAAAATAATAAGTAAAATTATTATTATTATTATTTTAAATAATCTTCATGTATATATTCTAATTTATTATCTATATATCAAAATAATAAGTAAAATATTATTATTAGTATTTTAAATAATCTTCATGTATATATTCTAATTCATTATATATATATCAAAATAATAAGTAAAATTATTATTATTATTATTTTAAATAATCTTCATGTATATATTCTAATTTATTATCTATATATCAAAATAATAAGTAAAAATATTATTATTATTTTAAATAATCATGTATATATTCTAAAATATCAAAATAATAAGTAAAAATATTATTATTAGTATTTTAAATAATCTTCATGTATATATTCTAATTTATTATATATATATCAAAATAATAAGTAAAATATTATTATTATTTTAAATAATCTTCATGTATATATTCTAATTCATTTTAAATATATATATATAAATAATATATTAAAAAATTAAAAATATTTTTGAAATTAAAAAAATATTTAAAAATTTAAATACATATTATTTTAAAAAAACAATATATATATATATATTCAAATTTATTTTTCAAAATATTTTTTTAATTAAAATACATTTTTAATTTTAGAAAATTAAATTTAAAAATTATATTAAAAAACAAAAATAATAATTTAAATATAAATATATGTATATATATTTCAAAATAATTATTTTATTAAAAAAAGAAATATCTTTGAAATTTAAAAATAAAAAATTATATTTATATATATAAATAAAACAATTTATATATATTCAAATTTATTTTTCAAAATATTTTTTTAAAAAATTAAATTATATTTTTTAATTCTAGAAAATTAAATTAAAAATATTTTTAAAAATAAAAATAATAATTTAAATATATATTTCAAAATAATTATTTTATAAAAAAAATAAAAAATATCTTTGAAATTAAAAAATATTTTTAAAAAAGTATAAAATAATGTATATATATATATATATTTCAAAATAATTATTTTATAAAAAAATAAGAAATATCTCTGAAATTTAAAAATTGTTTTAAAAAGTATATATACATATATTAAACACAATTTATATATATCCAAATTTATTTTTCATGTATATACTTATATATATATATATCAAAATAATATATTAAAAATTAAAAATATTTTTGAAATTAAAAATAAATAAATAATTAAATACATATTATTTTTAAAAAACTATATATATATTCAAATGTATTTTTCAAAAAAAAATTAAAAATATATTTTTTTAATTTCAAAAAATTATTTAAAAAAAATAAAAATAATAATTTAAATATATATATATATTTCAAAATAATTATTTTATAAAAATAAATATATATTTGAAATTCAAAAATTGTTTTAAATTTATATATATATATAAAACACAATTTATATATATGCAAATTTATTTTTCAAAATATTTTTAAAAAAATAAAATTATTTTTTTAATTTAAAAAAATAAATTAAAATAATAATAATTTTTTTTAAAAAAAAAACAACGTGTTAGATCAGTTAAGGTGAACGACCCCGATTATATATATACTCAAATCCGGGATTTAGATCACAAGATCGCTGGCTG